TTTTCTCATCCTAGGTATGGCTAGGGATGGATTAATGCCCGACTGTGACGTATATACGGAGTAATCTACATAGTATTAGGGAACGTTTTGTAATGCTTCAGAAAATAGATTTCATGATTTCAACGGATATACACGTTTTGGGGTCCTCTGATACCGAACAAATGTTTTTTCCAAAACTTCCGTCCGTCCATCTGTTCCATGTGTCCGTCCGTCTGTGCTACTTGCGCTTAAAGTATACGTAAGATTTTTTTCCAAAATGGATATTGCCCGGTCGATTTGGCTCGACGCGAAGCGCGCTGCGATTTTTGAAAAACTTTCTTCAAAATTTGGGGGTACTGTACATGAATGATTTTTCAAAATTTTCTCAAAAACGGCACCAAATATGTTCTTCAAATTTCTTGTAAGAATAGAGTAGAATATACTTATCAAGGTGGCATAGATCTGATTTTCACGGTTAACCCTGAATTTTCCCGTCTTACAACTACAAAATTAAAAATAAAGAATTTGCTGTGAAATGAAATTGGTTCTCTGCAGTGAGTCCTTTCGTTATAATAATGTAGATTTTATTGAAAATTTTAGTACTTTTCGGGCAATATTGCATGAAATATGCAATTTTAAAAAATAACAATAATATTTTCTCAAAAACGGCTCTATATTTTTTCTTTACACTGTTGGTAGAGATAGTGCATAAAATACTTTATAAGATAACATAAACGTCATATTGCTCTCTGCTTTTGTTTTTTCAAAATTACAAAAAAATATTTTTTTAACTTCTCTCACGCCGTTAATATTTACATTAGCGGCGATTTATTCACATTATTGCATTTATGAGTACATGCGCTTTAAATAATGTCAGATAAAGTTTTTCGAAAACTCAAAAGTTTTCTGCAATGCCGAACTCAAAATTCCGCATTTTAAAAAACGCTTAATCGCCATTTACAGAAAATCGGCTCCAAATTTTATCTTCAGGCTTTTCGTGTAGATACTGCAAATTGCACTCATTGAGATGCCATAAGATTCATTTTGCTATATAATTTTGTTTTTCAAAAATTACACAAATGTAATTTTTTCTGTTATTGATGCGATTCTCACTGCTAGGAAACCGAAAAATTGAGAAAATGTCAAAATAATGTACTTTGGGTGGCGATAGATGGCAGCTGGCAAAAGGATGGGGGAGGATGGGGGAAGACTGTAAAGCCATTCCACACCAAGGAAATTAGAAAACTTTTCACAGAAAGTTCGTAGCACCACTAGTTTATTCAAAATGTTTTAAAATATTACATGTGTCATATTACATTATATGACATGTGTCTTACTACGTTTTGATTATGTTCTATCTCATAGGCTAAACTCAGTTCATGCTGTGATACGATGTTATTTGTTTTAATGATTATCTGACAAAATTGTTGCTTGAAAGATGCGAGACACGATAAAATTAAAAGCAATTGAATTTTTTTTTGGGGGGGGGGAGAATTTCTCTCATGTTGGTAGAGGGACTTGATATCGTTTTTAAATAACAATTACAGAGTGCAGAAGGACCAAAAGGACCAAAGGGAACAAAATGGGGACAAGTGGGAGAAAAGCAGGACAAGGGGATCAATGTGGGCGTAGGGGACAAAATGGAAGAACATAAAAAAATGGATAAAATAGTACCAGAGGAAAAATGGGAGAAAGGCAAGAAATGGGACAAGACAGGACAAAGACAAGAAATGGGTCAAAATGGGTGTATGAGGAAAAGGGTGCAAGAGGGCAAAAGAGACAAATGAGAAACTGGGGACAAAGTGGGACAATAGGGACTTACGGAACAATGGGAACAAAATGAGACAATTTCGACAAATGGAACTATGTGACAAAATAGGAAATGGAGACAAAGGGATTTATGGGACAAGGGAGCCAAACAATCAAGCAGGAGAAAAGGACAAGGGAGCAAAAGGAACAAAAATTCCAGAATCGATTTCTTGTAATCCTAAAGAAATAAATGTCATGGCTTTAAACGGCATTACATTCAGTGGTAATTTTTAAAAAAAGTAACTTCAATATATCTGTACCAAACCATTTGTAAAAATTAATTTTGTTTACATGTATTCCCAAAAATTCTGTTTTGTGGCAATGACATACTTATCCAATGATTTATGAGCACTGGTAATATCTAAATCTCAAAGTTTGTTCAACTACTTTTAATGCAAGTGTGTATGAAATTGCTTGGTTTGTCATCTCATCATCAACTGAATATATGAAATGAATAAATTCTCTTTTTTTTGTTGTGGTACTTTCATTTGGTTTGTGTTTGAATCGTGTACCTTCTTGTATCACATCTTTTATATCATGTTGATTGTTCTCATTTCTATCTTGCTTACAGTGTTATAGTTTTGTCATTTTATATCTTTAATTTTAAATTTAATTAATTTCGAATTATGAAATGAGGAATTTATGCAATAATATAATCAGCATTGTCTGCCATTGAGTCTTTCAATTCCTGTGACAAGAAATCAGTCAAAACTTCCGTCATCTTCAGAAGTGATTGTGCTAAATTAGAAACATTTCCATGATGTTCAACATTGTGTTTACAAAGAAGTAAAAATGATGAATGTTTTCCTGAAACATACTTTTTAAGCCTTTGTTTAAAGTCAAAAGGATGACCATTCATTCCAGATAAAGCTCTAATGAATAGAAGAAATTCACCAGATCATCTTGATTTTTACGATTTGTGAGAATATTACTGATTGGCAAGGTCTCTGTATTTGTCAAATGTCTGATGATTGCCTACCTTCATTGTGTTGAGATTATCTATTTGTACCAAGATAATATTTTGTTGGATGATATTAATACAATAGCATGATTACATTCTTCCTATCAATACATTGTTCTGAAATTGAAGTCATCAAACCAATTGTTTACACTTATTCTCAACATGTGTGCCCTCTAACCTGTTATGTTCATTAAGAAAGTCTGGGTACCATAGGATTCACTTTTATTTGCCAAAGAGTTTGGAAACAACTGTGCAGCAGTTTTCACTTTTTGTCTTCTCATGTTCCTTTACTGTCAAATGATTTTCTATTATTTTGAATGCAATTTTCTTGTCGCTTTGGTAAAATGTTAGAATTTTCTCAATATATTTCTTATTTAAATGAGAATCATCAGTAATGAACCCACTGTCAAGAAGATTATTATAATTAACTTCTAAAGATGTAAAGGGTCTACAAAAACATAAATTGTAGATTATTTTTCTACTGGCTGATCTAAGTGTCCACGATCTAAGTTTACTTCCAGATCATTCCTCTATTTTACATTTTTTGATGCCATGACACTGGAAATAGAATCAACGGTATACTATGCAGAACACTGTTTGGTCACATCAAAAATAATTTCCCATTTAAAATTGGATCTACTTTCATATTTTCAAGCAAAAAATTACAATGCAGTTTATAAATAATACAGCACAATATTTAAGGGAAATCTGAAAACATGTATTTATTACTTATTTAAAGTAATATACAACTAACAATATGCTTCTTTTGTAGCCCAAATCAGTATGTTTTGGGTAACCTGGTTTCATTTCCAATGATGTAACATTTATTCCAAGATTAAAGACTGCACTACTAGAGTAAGGCTGTTGTGTGTAAAATTTGACCAATATAATTTAATAGAAATACTTATATGAATGTTTTGTTTCTTGAATCAGGAGTAAATTCAAAAACCTATGTGCATTTCTTGTATGCATATACATCTTTTTTGTTATGTAAAGAAGTAGATTTCTCTGCAGTTCAATTGTAACAACATTGCAGATGTCTCATATTTTAAGATGAAAATACTATTGGTAGTATGAGATTTTCTTTGCAATTCATTAAAATTCTGAGCTTCTTTTTGAAGTTGCATGCTTGGAAGTATTATTTTACGTCAGTTTAGAAGTTTATGAGAATTGTCGGCAAATCTTATTTAAAATTTGTTAGAAGTATATAAATCTTAGCCTCCACATATTGTATTAAAATATTAAAAAACTCAAATTAAAAATAAATTTTATTGTTGACATGAATGAATACTCTCTGGTTTAATACTTAAGAGTGCCCTATGTCAGGTGAGCTAGTACTTGACTTTGTCAAAGTAATATTTTTGTAGAACACTTTTTTAAAGTGTTTATAATGCTATATATTAATGTGTGACTTTGTATGCATTTTTTGTCACTAAGTTGCATTACACCAGATTATTGCAATTTATTTCTACTACACCTTCATGGTGTTATTTTTGGATGGAAACAGTTGAAAATTGTCACTTTTTGCCACCTTCAAAATGGTTCTCACTGGTACTCGCTACTCACTTCCCATTCTGCATGGTGGTTATGGCAACCAGCAATGTTTGGCCCACTGCCTGGATTTTTAAATGAAGTGGCAGGGGTATTGTGTTGACAATATATTTATAATTTTTGTAATCGTAAACATTTTAACCTATTTGACTAGAAGTGTGTAATCTTAAAAATTGTAGACTGTTATGAACCCTGAAAATGCGAATAGGCAATGTTCAAACATTGGAAATACTGTGAAGACTTATGTAATAAACCACATATTTCAAAGCCATAGAAGAATTACTAACTTCCCAGTTGTTCTATGAACTAGCAAGTAAAATATTAAATTAAGCAAAGTAAAAATATTATGTATAAGTATTATATGGAAAGGAAAGTAAAAATATTAAATTTAGTTTTAAATTCCTTTGATATATTTTTTATTGTTGTGTGAAATAAATGAATTGAGACATACTGTTTAAAACTAGCGTGATTGCTCAGGAAGGAAAAAATTGACCATGTGTGTTGTTTATGTGTAGAATTAGCATGTAACCAGTACAGTATTTCAATTCTTTTATTTTGGGCAATATTAAAAAATATGTCAAAGGTATTTAAAATTTAATTTAGTGTTTTTTATTACTTACTAGTGCGTAGACTTTGAAATTTTTAGTGTATTTTTTAAATTACTATCTCATTCCCAATGTTTTAACTATGCCTAATTGACCTTATTGGGGTTCAAAATAGCCTCCATTTTTTTAATTTACACACATCAAGTCAAATTAGTTAAACCAGTCATGTTTACAAAAACAATAGATATTTCTTCAACACTAATTACACATATTTAAGAAACAATGAACTTATAGGAGCCTATTTAAACAACAGGAAACCACAATTGTATCAAATTGAGTGTTATAAAGCAGTAAAATACATAAATATCAATATTTGTTGCTGCAATAATAAAACACACATGTAATATGGAACTTACAAAAATCAGTCAACATTTGTGAACAGGACTCAAATAACATTGGAACAAACGTTCCAAACATAATTTTTCCCCTTCGTAATAATTAAATACATAGATTATAAAAATTAAAAAAAAAATGATCAAATGAAATACAGATTTCAAACTACCAGATGCTAAATATGTCCAATGTCAACTCTGAGCTACAAATAATTTTGACACCACAAACATTACTTAGTCAAGGGAACTAAGTGTTATAAAAGAAGTATATTATAAGTCCCAATGAAAGCAATAACACATTGGCGATATTTCACAACATAATCACATACAATTCAAACACCACAATTTTCTCAATGTAAAATAATAACTCGATACCAGAGATGTCTACCATAACATCATCAACTCGGCTTTTTCATTATGTATCAACATATCGTCTCCTGATAGTAGAACAATTAGGATTAATGTGATAATTCAGCAACCACAATTTAAGTTTAATATTAACTTTGATTGTAAAAATCAAGAATTATAATACAAGAATTACAAAAATTAATAATTTATACAAAAGACATAATTGATGAATACCTGTTTTACAAATGAACCTAGATAAATCTAAGTGCATGATTAAATATTAATAAGTAAACAAATCTTCAACCCTAAAATCAATATTTAACTATAATAAATGTGAACCACATTAATGTAAAAACATATTACTTTAAATACAATAAAATGTAGTTAGTAAAATTGAAATAAAAAGTGATAAGTAATAATCACATACAAAGTATAAAATATGATTGGCAGTACACCAGTAAATCCAAATGGTGTTACAGAAAGGCACAGACTTTCTTATATTAGTTTGTTTTCTATTTTTTGGTGTAGTCTAGCTTTACGGTCTTGCCCCATCCTCTTGCAAGTTGCCATCTATCGCTGCCCAAAATACATTTTTTAAACGTTTTGTCAATTTTTCATTTTCCTAATTAATATATAAAATATTACTTTTAATATATTATAGAAGAGTAAAACCTCATCATATTTGGAAGTTTTCGTTGAAAAATTTGTGGTCATTTTTAATAAAAAATCAATTAAGCTCTAGTGTAAATGCAAAATTTGATGCAATTTTTTACAGGAATATTTTGTTTTAGAAATACTTATCATGAAGTTATTTAAAGCTACTCATAAATGCAATAATGTATACAAATCACTGGAAATGTGCAATACAGAGGCCTGAGCTCTTTGGAGTGCAGGTTTGCTGGTTCGAGCCAGAAATAATATTTAAAACCGTTTGAAGCAATTCTAATCGCAAATACAATTAATCAAGATAAATAAGCTGGAAGTCTCTGTAAGTGATTTTTGAATTTTCATCCTTTGAATAATCTCTTATTGGATTTGTCCAACGTATAAACCATCAATTCTTGTCTCTCGAAGTTTATACTATTACAGAAGTGCCAATTCCCTGCATAACCCGGGTGGCTAAAGTGGTTAAATGTCGGGTTCAGACTCAAGGTTTCAGAGGGAACTCTGTTGCTGAAAAAAAAATGTATTAATGAACAAATTTTGAGCCATTTTTGAGAATGTTTTGAAAATTTCCCAGGGGCTTCATGTAATGTATCCCCAAATTTCAAAGTATATTTTTCAAAATCGCGGCGCTTTGAGTGGAGGCAGATCGACCGGGGAATATTCATTTTGAAAAACTCCTACGGTTTATGTGCTAAACCATGGTTTAGGCGCTAGTTGTATTCGCAGACAGACGGGCGAACTGGTAGACGCACGGAAGTTTTGGGAGGGGGAAAAAAGAAAAAAAATCGGTATCACGGGACCCCAAAATGTGAATTTCCGATGAAATCTCGAAATCAATTTTACGCAGCATTGCATAACTTTCTCTATGCTACTACGTACATATTAAATACGTATACGAGAAAGTAATACGTATACGGAATTCACATGTGCAGATTTATAATAAAGACAATGAAATGAGAGTGGAGAAGAAACAACTCTATCATTAATATTATAGTTGTAGAAAGATGCTGAGCATTTTTTGCAGTTTTTGAAAATTCTAAGTTCAACCATGATGAGCCCTGCGCCATTTTCAAGAGTACTTTGCTCCATACGAGAAAATAAACTTAATCCATAAAATTGGAACTATTTCAGAGAATTTTAATTTTTTTTTTCAATGTTGAGACTTCATATAAGGTAACGTTGGGCAAGAGTCCGCATTTTTTATATAAAAAAAAAACTCTTGTAATTAGTATGTTGACTCGGATTTTATACAGAACTATGCTTAACGTATGAAGAATAAACTGTCCAAACAAGATTGATGTATCTTTAAATTTGATGTCTAAAAATATTAAAGAAGGAAGTGCAATGTTGGGACGTTTGTCCCAGGCGCGGGGTACGAAAAGTCCCAAACAAAGGAGTAAAATTCCGAATATACAAAACCTCCAAACTTCCTTAAAAATAAATCAACAGTGTTTATCGGTCACATGCGTCTTTAACCTTTATTAACATGCAACCCTATATGTTGCATTTGTTAAGTGCACTTGTACCTACCTGTATTTTAAGAAATTTAAAATCCTTAGCAACGGGTTTTAACATCCATAGTAACCTAAATAAACAATAACCCATTCATCGCAAGTCAACATTATTACGAAAAAGTCACATGGTAATTTACAAGACAAATAGTAAGCAAAGAAACGCATTATTTTTGAAGATGTTCGTTATTAATTATAATGTTATTAATTGTACAGTTGAAAAATAAATATTTGGTAAATTAATATACAGATGTATTGTTGAAATAAATATATCGCAAGCAATACACAACAATATCGATTATCGTGCCGCAACAACAGAATTCATGTGTTTCATATCGCAGTAATGTCGTAAATTTTCTGGAAAAAAATTGAGATTTTATGGTGACCGATAAAACGCTGAACATACCACGAAATGTTACAGTGTTATTACTGCCTCGTCCAATTTAAAAATCTTGGCTCCGTTACGCTCCGCCTCGATTTTTAACTTTTAGCATCGGCAGTAATAACACTCATAACATTTCTAGGAATGTTAATAGCTCTAATATCGCGCTCATATGCATTAACGTAATGAGACGTCAATTTAATTGGAAAATGATTAAACGCGATACGTAAATTCTGAAAGGTCATAATAAAGTCTACAGTTGCAAATTATATATTCTAATAAAAAATATAATAAATTCAAAGCAGATACTGTATACACTAAATCTCACACAAATCACACAGAAATTATTCTCCCTCGTAGTTCGTTTTCATGTCACCACTCTTTACACGAATAATTTTGGATCGTCTTCAGATGGAGGGTATTCGAATTCCATTTTACAAGCAAGGCATAGCCATATCGATTATTTTCAGTGACAACTGGATTATTATTCTTTTCATTTCCTCTCTTATTTGTGTAGTGGCAAAGCAATTTCTTAAGGACATTTCTGGGCTACTATTTCTCCATTTCAAGTGCAGTCTTGTAAGGTGACGATGTCGGTATCTTTCCTCGCCGCGTTCGTTTTCTTTTCAATCCTTTCTTTGGGATGGGCATAATGTCCGATGCAGAGTAATGTTGTTTCCCGAAGTTCTCTGAAGTTTCACAATTTGGAGATTTGCGTTCCTTGAGGGATGTTGTGACATTGCTCAGTAGAGATGACGAAAGTTCCGATGAGTGATTTATGGTTTGATCACATGACTGGTGTACTTCAGAATTTCTCCGTTTAATGCCAACTCATCTGTCAGTGTATCAGGTGAAATGGGTCTTTGGTCTGTGAAGGAAAGAAGTCATCCTTCCCAAATATGAATTTGTCAGTGCTTACAATAACACAAACCTCAAACGCTTTCACAACCTTCTCAGTCGTACAATTTATGTACAATATACCTATACAGTTCCGGTACCTGGAATTGGGAGATGACCGTTCCTGAATAAATTTCATCATGCGCTACAATTTTCTAGAATTGGGGTAGAAGCCCTCACTAGGACTCTTGCCCCGACCGTCAAAATAATATATTTTAGTTTGCGCTGACTTCTGTCGGGTATCTACGAAAGTATGAACTAGTGCGTTGTGTTGGTCACATTTCATACATCTACACTCTTAACTATATATTTTAATTATTGTGATATTAACAGCGTAAACATATTTCCAATATCTTGCAAAATTATATTAAATAAGTTGAAATTATATCGCACCTCAGTGTCGCAGCAATATTTGCTCGGAATCTACCAAACTCTCCACACAGAACATCAGCTACGCCGCCTTCCAATTTATGTTGCAGAAGGATCAACTTCACTTCCCGAAACCAGTAATTACGATAATCGGACTCTAACTCCATGCGGAGTTTTCCCTCTGCTACTCTAAAGTACCCCACCCCCGAAATCAAAATATTCCTTTCAAGTTTGCGAGTTCGGCCAGGTCGATTGGGGAATGTCAGTTTTGAAGAAAATCGTCTGAAGCTGGAGTCGGCAACCCCGGCCGCGAAGACATCTCATGCGGTCCGAAGGAGCTAAACAGTTTTTGTCACTAAACTAATTCAAACTTGCGTAGATTTATTATTTTTATGTACGTACAACAAACACTATGTTCAGAAAACTAATTTGACATACGAAATAAAGACTGAATTCGAATCAAAATAAATACTCTACAACAAAATATGTTTAAAGAGATAGCAAATGGAAACATTGCAGCTGTGCGAGCCAGTGTTGCCGAACTAATAGCTAAGAACAATAGAACGTACATCGACGGGGAGTTTGTGAAAACAAGGATAACGGCCTTTGTTGATGTG